GCTCTTTCGGCTTCGGCTTGCTGGCCAGCATCCCGCCGGCCCGTTTGCTGATGGGGTCGAGCACACCCCGCACCAAAGCGACCGGCAGGAACGCGGCGTTCATCGTGAGCATCGCCAAAGCAAACTCGGGCATTCCCATCGCCAGGCCGATGAACGCGTGCACGCCGACCGCCGTGAGCAGCACCCACGGCCGGGCCCAGCGGCTCCAGATCAGGCAGCAGTAGAACAGCTCGAAGAAGACGGTGCCGTGGGCGAGCAGCTCCGCCATCCGCAGGTGCCCGGCGAGCCACGTCATGTCGAGCGAGCGGTACTCGACGTTGGCGACCGACATCCAGATCGACTCGCCTGTCCACCACATACGGCCCTGCAGCTTGCCGAAGCCGCCGAAGAGGTAGATCACGCAGAGGTGCAGCTGGATGAGCCGCAAGGCGAGGTTCGCCGTCCACGACTCATCGACGTAATCGGGGTCGGCGTCCTCGACGCCGCGCCGTATCCGCAGCAGGCGATCCACGCTGTACCGCGCGCCGCACGGGCCGAGCATCACGTACATCGCCAAGAAGCAGTTGATCTTGTCGAGGCCGAAAAACGCCCCCGGCGTGACGTGCAGCGCATAGCTCAGCGCCGCCAAGAACGACCAGACCGCGACCGTCCGGCTGAAAAGCCCGATCGTCAGCAGGAAGAAGACAATCAGGCTCATCACATGGAACGTCCAAACGGCCCACGGCGCCTGCAAGAAGTCGAAGAAATTGACGCCGATCCGCGGATCGGTCATCCGCTCGTGTAGCTCTGGCGGGACCCATCCTTCGGAGCCGAAGAACGCCATGAGGCCAAAGGACCATACAAGGTGCGTCCAGAAGAGCAGCAAGCCGGTCACGACGCGGATCGCCGACAGCACCGCCGGGTCCGCGGGCCGAAACCAGAAGTCGTCCCACGCCGCGGCGAGATCGACGAAGTACGTCCTTACAGCTGCGAGGGCGGCTTTCATAGGTCCTCCCCAATCGGCAGCTCTTCCGACGTTTGCGGTTCGCGTTCCGGTGGCGCCGGGACGGGCAGCGGCTCTTCGAGCGACGCCGCGGTCTCTTCAACTCGAGTGATCGTTTGAAACATCTCCGGGGCGTTCGGATCAACGCCCTCCAGCACAGCGCGTGGCGGCAAGGGATTGTGGATCACGCACTCGATCGTGGCGCGGGCGCCGCCATTGGCTCGCAACAACTGCCTCGCATACCCGCGCAGCATCAGTCGCAGCCACTCATCGGGATTGATGTCGGGCGGACCATTGCCCGCCTGGTCGGCGAGCATCATATGGCGGTGGTAATAGAGCCGCGGCCGCTGCGCCGTTTTGTTGGGGAGCGAACCCTCAGCAACAACGGCGCCCGCTTCATCGGTGACCGTGTAGCGCAGCACGTGATTGCGCGGCGGGTCGGGGCCGAAGAAGTGGTAGCCCTGATTGAGATAGAGCGAGTCGGAGTACCAGCGCACGTAGGGCGAGGTCCCGATACGCGACACGAGAATGGACGTCGGCTCGATCGCCAGCGGCGAGATAAAGACAGCGAAGAGATGCCAGACAACGGCAAAGCTAACGGCGATTCGAACCCAGCGAGCGGGTTGCCCGACGGGCGCCGTGCTAGCCCCCCCCTGCCCCGCTGCCGGGGGCTGACGGTCCTTGGGTTTGCCCGATTTCGCCATGGCTATTCGAGGGGGGGCCGAGTGGTGCGTAGGCCCTAGGAGATAGGCGAAGTCGCCGATCTAGGCAACGCCGGTCGCATGGCAGTGGAATGACTGACTCGCCGCTCGCGGCATAGCGCGAACGGACTCTCACCGCTAAGCCGCGAGCGGCAAACAAAAAACCCCCGCAGCGACAGGGAGTCGCTGCGGGGGTTTCGTTGATTGCTAGCTTGAGCCGCCGATCACCCTTCAGCGAGCGGCGACTTGATCAACGCTGCTGGCGAAGTCGAACTCCAGGTGCTGCGACTCGCCACCCACCAGGGTGATGGTCTGCTCCTGCGTCTTGCCATCAACCGTCACGGCGACGGTGTAGGCGTCCCACGTCTCGCCCTGCGGCAGCGTGCTGGTGATGTACTCACGCTCGGCGCCCGACTGCTGTGTGGTCACGCCGGCGAGGGTGACCTTCGCATTGGCGGGGACCGACAGCGTCAGCTTGGTCTTGGCGGTCTCGGGCTTCTTGGCGACAGGGTCCGTCTTACCGAAAGCCAGTTCAGCCGTGCCGCCGCCAATGAGCGTGGCGATCTTCGAATCGACGACCTTCTCGCCATCGGCCTCGTACTCGACGCGGACGCGATACTGGTACGACTCGCCCTTGCTCAGGCCGTGCGAGACGTAGTTCCGCATCGTGCCGGTGCTGGTCGTCTTGTGATCGTTGACATAGACGACGGCGTCGGCAGGGACCTGGACGCGGAGCGATCCGCTGGTGGCTTCTGCCTTGGCGACGACAGCGCCGGTCGACGTCGTGGTCGAGGCGCTTTCGTAAATCACGTGGCCGCCGTACGAGCCGGTGCTGCCGTGCGAGCCCGTTGAGCCGTAGGAGCCCGTCGAGCCATGCGAACCCGTCGAGCCATGGCTACCGTACGACCCTGTCGAGCCGTGCGAACCCGTGCTGCCGTACGAGCCGTAGCTGCCGTGCGAAGCGTGACGAGCCGCACGACGGGCGGCGTGGCGGGCGTGCATCCGGGCGAACAGACCGCCACCGTGCGAGCCGTAGCTGCCC